ACAAGCTTCAGATATTTATAGTGTTGGAATTATCATGTGGGTAATATCAACAGGAAAAATACCATTTGAAGGAGAATCATATGATCCAGAACTAGCAATAACTATTTTCAATGGATATCGTCCAAAAATCAATAAAGGAACACCTCAATGTTATGTTGAATTGATGGAGAAATGTTGGCACAATGATCCATCTAAACGTCCAAGTGCTGAAATAATTTTTAATATATTAGAAAATTGGATTCACGATTTAGTTTTTTTTTGAAAAATTAGAAAATGCACTTATGTTTTTAAAGGCAGATCAGGAAATGCAAAATATAGATTCCGAATTATTATATAATGAAACGATTTATTCTGAAACACATCTTATAAGCCAACCTTTAATACAACATCATTTAGCAATTCATGAATCTTTTTCAAAATTTGATATAAATAAATACATAGATAAGATCAATTTAGATTTAGATGATTAATTAATTAATTAAATTTGAACTATTTGAATTACATTATAATTATTTTTATATAAATTATATGATGTGCTTTTATTAAACTAAATAAACTTAATGTAACCTTTCTAAATAAAATTAATTAAAATCTATACATACAAGAATTAATTATTCTTTGAACTGGTTTCCAATATTTATAGTATTTAAAACAAATAAAGGTGTTTATAATAAAAGTGATTATATTCTTGACTAGTATTCTTGATATTTGTTTTTATTAATTTGAAGTCAAGTATCACTTGTTTTTATGAATCATACTTTTTTTTATCTATAACCATTTTGGAAAAGCTTTATTAAGAACATGGATATGTAAGAGACTTTGGTTAAGATATGTTATTCTAGTCAAGATTACAAAAAAAAAAATCTACAATATTTTCTTAAATGAAAAGCTGTAACTCAAATTATCAGAGATTACAAAATCTAAAACAAAATAAAATTATAAAAGAAGATTTTATAGCTTATAACTAACAAGAAGTTTGGACTATTGATTATCCATATCTGAAAAATCCAAAATAAATTACATTATTTGAAAACTCTTCTTTATACTTTTGTATTCATAAAGAATAGAATTTTGATAAATAAAATGCAAGTATAATAAACCATATTACTCTAGTGTATTAACCTTGACAGCAATGATGTCATTTATTTATAATTTGAATTATCATTAGTAAAGATACCTGTCATAATTATTTACAGGAGTTGCATCTAATTGCGCCATATGTCTTAATTAATCGCATCATATGATATAATTGATTTTTTGAATTACTAATCACTAGAAGGTATGGAAATGATATTTCAGATGTTATAATTAATTGTTCAATGCAAAGAAATATTATGATCTTAAAGATATTTTATAACATGAATCATTAATGTTGCAAAAGATATTGAAAATATAAATTTAAGAATTATTTTACAGGGGTAGAGGTCTAAGTTGAGATGCTTTGTGTTTATTATATGATATTTAATTTGAAATTGTATGCTTAGCCATTACACCTGAATATAGCCTTTGTGCTTAATTGTGCCAAAGAAATTTTCTGGGATCAATTGGCTAAATTCCTGGCTTAATTTATTATAGTAAATAGTTGATTTTTCAACATGCATAAGTAATATCTTTATATAAAAAAAATTATTGTTCCATTAAAGCAATTTGATTTGATTATCATGAAACTTGTTCCATCGTTCTTTTAAATATATATTTTCACTTTCTATTTTTGTTTGTTTTTTTTTAATTCTTCCCACTTGATTCTCATGACTTCTATTTTATTATATAGATTTCAACTTGTGTTTTAAAGTATTTATATTCAAACCTATATTATAACTCTTGAATTCTATTATAATTAGATTTATTAGTTTGTAATTGTTTAGAATGGTCAGTTACAAGATTAGCTATTGAATTTTTTAAAGAGTTCTATTAAAAAGTTATTATCTATTGTTACTTGTATTCTAATAATGTCAACGGTTGTTGAAAATTCTATTTGTGTTGTGTTTGATGTGGAGTCATTACTAATAGAATTTCTACTGTTAAAACTTCTTTTTAAGGATAAATTAATGATTCTTCTTTTAAATAATTTAAATAGTTATCTTTTTGTAACAATTTTGATTATAGTGTTTTTCACAAGTATTTTTCTAATTCATTTTTGATAACACTACAAAACTCTGAATTCTTTTTTCAATAAAATTCGTAGAAGAATGAAGGTTAACAAGTGTGGTAAATAAGCAAGTTTTATATATTAAGAAATACATGAGCTTATTAAATGTTTCATGCGAGGACAATGAAGCCAATCAAATTTGTGCATGTGATAACGGAAATTTAAACTGTCAAAGAGACAGGATCGACGACAAATTAAATATAAATTATACAATTTATATAATTTGTATATTTTGTATAATTTATATAAATTATACGGATAATGATTACTCCTTCCTTTACGATCACTCAGAATAATACGTTCGTTTCGATTCATCTAAAGGTGCCACACGTTAAAGTATGTATAATTTTTAATTTAAAAAAAATTAAATTAAATTGTGAAAATAAAACACTCCTACATTTTATCTATAATTTATCATAAGTTATAATATATTATGATTTATTATTAATTGTCACTAAATGTTATTTACTAGGCGTCAGAAGTCGAGCTCTATTGTGATGGACCTGACTTTACTTTCCACGCTAGACCCTATTATTTACGGTTAGTAATAATAAAAAAGTTAAAATGTAAAAGATATTTTTTGAAATATTTTCGTTTTTTACGTGTTTTTCCATAATTTTTTTCATATTGTTACTTATGTTACACGATTTTTGTATATTTTTTTTTTTCAAGTCTTCATTTTCCAGGTGATTTAATAGAAGATGAACGTTTTAAGGCATCCTATGATATGAATAAAGATGAAATGTTTATAGAGATACCCAAAAAAAATCACGGAGAGGAATTCCCTGATTTAGATTTATTAACAAAACTTTTGGCACCACGAAAAAGACGAACAATTCATGATGATCAGAATAATAAACCTTTGATTGAAATTATTGGTGAAAGTAAAAATGAAAATGAAAATGAAAATAAAAATAAGAATGATTTAGATTATGATGTAGATTATACTGAGCTTGAAGAAGAAGAATTGACAAAGAAATTATCTGAAAATATTAAATTTGATGAAAATAATTCTGAAGGGAAAAGAATTTTAAAATTAATTGAAAGAGGTAATAATAATATTATTAATCATTTTTTTCTTTCCTGCATAATAATATTAACTATAATAATAACATAATAATAGCCAATGATTTTGATTGGGAGTTACCTCAGGAAGTTCCTGAGGAAAAGGTAATCCTTTTTATTATTATTATTATTATTATTATTATTATTATAACAATTTATATAATTTATAATAGATGAATTAAAAATGAAAATATATATCTAATAATTCATTTAGAATATTTTAATCGGAACCGCCAAATATGGATTTAATGAACTGTATTCAGGATATTTCACACATGTGCAAGAAACTTGTAATGAAATCATAGAAATTTCTGATCCGGAGAATTCTACTCTTGAATCTCGTCGTCAAGAACGAATTAAAGCCGAGAATGAAAGATTTAATCCTGATCACTATATGTAATTTTTAATTTAATTATTATTTAATTTTTATTTTTATATTTATATTTAATTTATTTTTATTAATTATTATTAAACTTATTAATTATTATTATTATTATTGAATAGTGCAGATTTTATGTGTGATCAAGATATGAAACATGTTATAAATTATCAGACTAAATGGGATATTATACTTCAACAAATCCAACAACAGAACAAAGTAAATAAAAATAATAGATGATGAAATAATTTGTTTTATTATTTATTTATTTATTGTGAAATTTCTTTAAATAATAATATTTTCTTCTTTACCCTAATAGAATTTGGATATAGAATGTGAAGAAATAAATGAAGGAGAAGTGATATCAATGAAGAAAAACAATCACACAATTGATATAAATGATATTAATGACATTAATGATATCAAAAATGATATTAATGAAATATTGAATAAATTCACCAACAAAGAAAATGAGCAGATGATAAAGTTACCAAATAAACAATGTAAGTAAAATTTCTTTTAATTAATTGATTTAATTAATTAAAGTTTTTCAATAATAATCATTTATCTATTTATTTTTTTATTTTTTTATTTTTTTATTTTATTTTATTTATTTCAGATCTTTTACGAAATGTGACATCAATATATTTTGGACTTGTTGATTTATTGTTTGCGTATAGTTATCATAATAGAATATATGAAGGTGAAATTAATGTGGAATCCGCGTGGACAATAGGAAAAATAAGTCCTACGATATCATGTCTTGAAGTTAGTTAGTTAGTTAGTACTAAATTTATGTGATATTATTATATATTCTATATATATTATAATTATAATTATATTTATATTTTTATATAATATTTTTTATATTTCTTTTTTATATTGATATTAATATTTTTTATATTTTTTTTATCATTTTCCAGAGGTTTGGAAAACTTAATGAAACAATAATCCCATTATTTCGAAGATCTCTAGCATATCCATATTATCGAAATTTTGAATTATCCAAAAAATGCTTGGAAGATGTATACATCATTCTGAAATTAGGAAGAAGAGCGATATTAAAAGTATTATTGGAATTAAAAGATATTTTTGATCATAACGATGTTTATTACATTTATTCAAAGATATGGTTAGATGATTATTGTATTTGGTGTCAAACTAAAGCTAGGTAAGTAATAATAATAATATTATTATTGTTATTATAATTATTGTTATTGCTAATAATTTTTTTCACATGATTAATTGATTCCTTCTTCTTTAAAACACAGTGATAAGGTAATTAAAACATTATCAAAAAAACTTCATCATTATAAAATTACAAAATCAGATATTGGATGGAACTTGGAAGATTATGAACAATTGGCAATTGAAGATCAGAAAGAAAATTATTAATATCTGATATTATTAATGATTCATTTATTATTATTATTATTATTATTATTATTATTCTATATAAATAATTATTACTTAACAAACTCACCAGTGCAAGTGAATTTAGTTTAGTAAATAATAATAAATAATAATAATAATAAAATTCAATTTAATGGTTTCTCATACTCCAAATTGGGTTCGCAAGTGCGTAAAAATATACTTTAATAATGTCACATGATACTATTCATATTGAGTAACGTTACGTTACATTACATTTCGTAATATAATTTTCTTATTTCTTTAAGGCAAAGAAAGCCTTTATTTATTTATTAATTTATTTATTTCTAAATGGTTACAACAGTTGGCTTAAAATATTTTTTAATGTTTTTTGAAAGATTGAAATTGAATTTATTTATATTGGTTATCCATGTAATCTATATTAACTAACTAATAATAATGAATATGTAAATGGGAAATAGGAACCTTAACCGTTTCTATTACATATCTAAGATCCGAAACGTGGAAACTGAAGCCTTTTACATCATGCATATACAATTATATGCTATTTTCTGACCTTGATATAGTAATCCCTCTATTTATATTTTTATCATTCTTACTTTTCTTATTATCCGCAGTTCATATCAATTGGTTACCTTCTGGTTGGATCTAAAATTACACAAGATATAACTTCCACAAGAAAAACTTTATTTTTTTTTTTTCTTAAAAAAAAAAAAGCCTCAGACAGTTAAATATACATCTATATATTCTACGATAAATTATAAAATTATATTATACGTTATTATTTTAAATTTAATAAAAAATGGAAATGGACAGAAGAAAGGAAGAATTAGAAAAGAAAAGACAAAAACTTGCCGAACTTCGTCGGGCAAGAGAAGAACGGAAACAAGTTTTTAGCCATGCGACATCTGAAGCGACAAAAGAGAAACCAGTAATCAAATATACAACTTCATATTTTAAGTTTTACCATACCGAATTCAAATAATTTTAATTATGTTTTTTCATTTTGGTTTTAAAAGAATCGTAAGGAGATGATTGACGATCTCGTTAAAAATTTGCTTCAAGATAAAAATCAAACTCAAACTGAACGTTCAATCAAGAATGAAGATTCAGATGGGGGAAGTGGTGGTTCAGGTTCAGAGAGAGTTTCAACTTCTACATCTGTTTCGATTTCCACACATTTTTCTATATCATCTCCGAGTTCTTCTGTGCCTCAAAGGTATCATTATTATTATTAATAATTTTAATAATTTTAATAATTTTAATAATTTTAATAATTTAATAATTTAATAATTTAATAATTTAATAATTCAATGACTTATTTTATAAAATTTTTATTTAATTTAATTAATTTATTTATTTAATCTATTTATTTAATCTATTTATTTAATCTATTTATTTAATCTATTTACATATAGTCCACAAGTGACAACTCCTCACGGTTGTCGTTTCATTCCAGAATTTGTTTCTTTTGAAGCAGTTGTATTAGACATTGCGCCAAAGGTATTTATTATGTTCCTCTTCTTTGCTCCTTTAGTTTTCTTATCTTCTCATTCGTGAATTTTTTTATTAAATTCAATATGATCATTTATGATAATAATGTTGATATATTTATTGATTGATTTATTTTAGGAAATAGTTTTATATAATAAAGAAGTACAGACTAATGAAAATTCATTTGGGCCACCACCACCAAATGAAAGAGAAATTCGTGAAAAAATATTAAAAGAACTAGAAGAAAAAGAAAAACAAAGACTAATTGAATTAGAAGAAGGACGTTTGAAAATTGAAGCCGAAAAGAAGAAAAATCAAAAACTCAAAGGTGATGATCGAATAAATAATTTGCGTACATTTTTTTTGACTCATCATATTTAATATAATAATAATTATTATTATTGTCCTGTTATTTATGAATTCGATCACTTTATTATTATTATTATTATTATTATTATAATAATAAAGATATTCCTGATGAAAATAAAAGTAAAATCCTCAATTCATTGGAATTCGCCGAATTTATTGATCATTCTACTAAAATTGTGGAGAGAGCACTTAATGAAAATTATGATTTCATGAAAGATTATAGTGTCATTAAAGATGTTGAGAGGTAAGGTTTGTTATAACTTTTTTTATAACTTTTTTAACACCTTTCTATTTTATTTTAGTTTAATTTAATTTAATTTGATTTAATTTAATTTATTTTATTTTATTTTATTTTATTTTATTTATTTTATTATTATAACTTTATTCGTTATAAATAATGATTTCAATATTAACTAAAATATATTATTTTTTATTTTTTACTATATTTCACACTATATATTTTTAAAGTGATGAGAAATCTGGATCTCGTATTAAATTATTATGTTCATTTTTCGATGATCGATGGAGTAAAAATCGTTCTGTTACTGATGTAAATTGGTCACGTAAGGTAAAAATTCAAATAATAATTGATATTCAATATTCATTTGGTAATAATATTATTAATAATATTATTAATATTAAATTATTATTTTATCAATTTAAGAATCCAGAACTTGTTGTTTCATCATATAATAAGAATCCAATCGCGATGAATGAACCTGATGGTGTTGTATTAGTTTGGAATTTACGCTTGTTGGAACGTCCGGAATATATATTTCATTCTCAGGTTATTAATAGAATTCTTTTTATTATAAATTATTCTATCTAAATTATCTAAATTTTAAAAAGATTTATTTATTCATTTATATAATAGTCGGACGTACTTACAACGTCATTCTCAGAATTTCATCCTACCATCATTATCGGTGGTACATATTCCGGTCAAATAGTTCTTTGGGATATGCGAGCCAAATCTTTACCGGTTCTCAAATCACCTTTATCCGCCAATGGACATACTCATCCGGTATATTCAATGCAGATGGTGGGTACCCAAAATGCCCATAATCTCGTTACCGCCAGTACCGATGGTTTAGTATGTTCTTGGCAATTGGACATGTTGGTTCAACCACAAGTAAATATTTTCATATGATAATTATTTATCATTTTTTTTTTATTATTTATTTATTCATTATTATTTATTTGTTTTTTATTTATTTGTTTTTTATTTATTTATTATTTATTTGTTTTTATTTATTATTTAATTATTATTATTTATTTCGTTTTATTAATATGATTATTAGGAACATTTAGAATTAGTTTTTGCGGAACATAATAAAACTGAAGAAGTTTCTGTTACCGCGCTTGGCTTTCCTGATAATGAAACTGCTGCATTTTGGGTTGGTACGGAAGAAGGAAATGTTTATCAAGCTAATCGATATGGACGAGCTGGCGGGTAAATAATATAAATTATTATTATTCTTATTATTACTGAATTCGTTATTTAAATTCCTTATTTAAATTCATCTTTCAAATTTATTTTATATAAATTTATTTATAGTAAAGCCGGTATAAATCCATATGATTTTTACAAAGGACATTGTGGACCAATTACTGGCCTTCATTTCCATCCATTATTTGGTCCAGTTGATTTTTCGGATTTATATTTGACTTCATCAGTAGATTGGACTATAAAATTATGGAGAGCCAAAGTAAGTTAAAATCTCCCTTTCTCTTTCTTTTGATTTTAATTTTTTTTTTAAAAAAAAAAATCATTAATTTAATTTAATTTAATTTAATTTATTATTATCATTATTTAGTCAATTTCAAAACCTTCAACATCGATCCAGAATATATTACCTTTACATTCTTTCGATGAAGCTGATGATTATGTATATGACGTTAAATGGTCACCTTGTCACCCGGCTCTTTTTTCTTCTGTCGACGGAACCGGTAAATTTTCTGTATGGAATTTGAATGTTGACAAGGAGGTAATTATTGATCATCATTTTTTAAATCATCGAAAAAAATTAAAATATATATATATATATTTATATTTATTTAATTGTGAATGTATAATTAATTGTGATAGGTACCAATTGTGAGCACGCAAGTGGGACAAGGTAAAGCTTTAAATAAAATTCAATGGGATAATGAAGGACGAAGAACGGCCATTGGATCATCAGATGGTAGAGTTCATATCTATGATATAGGCGAGGTAAATATTTTAATTTTTAATTTTTCTTTCTTTTTTTTTAAAAAATAATTTAATTTAATTTAATTTAATTTAATTTAATTTTTTAAATTTTAGCTATCTAAACCAAGAAATGATGAATGGAATCTTTTGCAAAAAACAATATCAGAATTATCTGAATCCACGGAAAGTCACGGAATAAAATTTTCTCTTTCAAAGTAATGTGGATAACAAATATGTCAATAATCTTTGACGGCATTGTTGTTTAATCTATTACGAATAGTTATTTTCTAATAAATGATTTCTCTAATTTCCCTCGAGTGAATGATCTCCCTTTATCATTTCTCATTATTATTACGTTTTATATATGATTTCCAAACCTTCTACTTTTAATAATAATAATAACAATAATATTTTTGTAATTTCAAAATACGTATATATATATATATATAAATATAAATAATTATATAATTCTTAATGTTTTTTTTTTCTTGTATTTTAGTTTTTAGATTTTGTTTTTTACCAGTACTTACTTTTCACATGATTTTATTATTCTTTATAATTATTCTTCTATACTTATATTATTCTTTCTATTATTCTTTATAATTATTCTTTATAATTATTATTCTATTATTTTATTATTTGTATTATTCGTGATAGTTTTTTTAGATATACATAATATTTTTTAATAAATAAAAATTTATATTTGAAATTCTCGAAACATTGGTTCACGTGATCCAAGATTATCATACAAATATTTTCAAAATTGATTTTCATCAGAATTGCCAACTTAAAAAAAAATTTCAAATACCGATTTATCTAATAAACGTTGGATGAAACAGTCAAATTTTATTATTTACAATCTACAAGAAATGAATCAAAAATGAAGGAATATGCATATCTTTTTTAATTGAATCAATTCTAAAAAGTTTTTTGAATAGGGGAGACAAAGAATGTAAACTCCAATGCAATGGAAAGGTTTAATATAAAATTGTTTAAATATCACAAAGAAATAAAAATGTATGAAATATCATAAAGAAATAAAAATGCATGAAAAATACAATTTTTTTAAGTATATATGTTTCTTAATAACTTTAATAATCAAATTAAATAGTTAACTAATTCTTTAGAAAATATTAATATTCAAGATTTTAATATTATTAATCAATTTTTTTTAAAAAAAAATGTGAAAAGTATTTTGACTTGTACTTGTATCATACTACATACTACTTATTCTATTTTCGTGGTGGGGCAAAGTAAAATTACTTTCTTTATTCAAAAATTACTGGATTCCTGTTATACATAGCCTTTCATCTTTGGGAAAATTTATCTTTCAAGAGGCACCGCTTAGACAAAAAATTACTTTTTTTTTTTTAAATAACACAAAATTTTATTATAAAAATCTGTCTTGAACTATTAATTAAAGTTTGTTAGAATTGATTTTTATATATATTTAAATATACATTTATAAATTAGTTAAGGGTACGGAAGGTGCGGACGCGGACCTTGGACAGCTCTTGGACGTAAAATGTACAACCCTAATTTGTACAGTCCCAAATATAGAAAATTTCTGGAATTTTAGTAGTATTTTTTTTTATACTTGTGATTATTTTTTTTTTATTTCATCAAAAATTGACTTATGGAATATTATCATTTATCTAAAAAAATATATTTATATATACATATTTAGTCGCAATACTAAGTTTATATAATATTTTATTATTTATTAAAAATACGTTATAAAATTAAAGTGATGGCCGAACCTTCACCAGATCCCATTAGACAGTTAATTATAAATTCACTCTTCTCGGATATAACCGAAGATTCCAACTCAGGAGGTATGTGAATACTATTATGTAATATATTCTTTAATTCTTTTACTCTTTTATTTTTTTTGGATATAAAACGATTGAAATAACGTTTATCGAAAATTTTATAGTTACATTGTTTTAATTATTTTATTTTAATTATTTAATAATTATTTTTAATTATTTAATTTTTTTAATTATTTTAATTACATTATTATTTTCTAATCAATTATTTTAATTAATCTACTTTTAATAATAGTTCATGGTGTATCAAATGAGTCGTTAATAACATATTTAAAAGTAGCGGAAGATGTTTCAGGAACGGGAGCTTCACCTACTGCAGACCGTCCTGGTACTATTGGTAGAAGGGGAACTTTAAAGATAGAAAGAAAGACAAGATATTTGATTATTTCAAGTGAGTTGATTTTTATTTTTTTTTTATTTTTTTTATTTTATTTAATTATTGTCAATTAATTATTGTTAATTAATTAATAAATAATAATAATAATTTAATAATTAATAATAATTAATTTAATAATAATAATAATTTAATAATAATAATTTAATAATTAATAATAATTAATTTAATAATAATAATAATTTAATAATTAATTAATAATAATAATTTATATTATTTTTATCATTAGTTAGACGAAATGGAAAAATAAGAATACATAAAGCCAAAAGAAATGCCAATAATACATTCTCCATTGGTAAAACATGGCCATTGGAAGATATCAAGTGTATTGAAGTTCTTGATGTAAGTTTAAATTTCATTATTCATACATCACAAGCTTCACATAGTACATACATCACATATTTTATGCATATATTTCTATATTTAGTCTCAAGCTTTTATTTTAACGATGAATAAGTCATATTTTTGGACAGCGGATAAACAACGAGAAAAAAGTATATTTCTGGGGACACTGGTGAAAGTTTATCAAAAGCATACGAAACGGTTACCAAAATTGATTAATTTTGATGATAGTTTAGGTATTCAAGTAATTATTTTTATTTTTTTATTATGTCATTTTTATTTATTTAAGATTATGATTTATTGTTTAATTAAATTGTGTGTTTATTAATTGTTTTTCTTTTATTAATTGTGTGTTTATTAATTGTTTATTATTTTTTTTTATATTTATTAATTTCTATATTTATTAATTTTAATTTATTTATTTATTTATTTTATTTTAGTTGAAACAACGACACCAACATTTCCAACATTTTATATTGAAAATGAAAATGTTAACAATAATAATAATAATAATAATAATGTTAATAATAATTACAATAACAATAATAATTACAATAGCAATAATAATAATAATAATAATAATCTAATTTATAATAATAATAATAATAGTAATAATAGTATCAATAATAACAACTTGAACGTGATTAATATGAACAATAATATCAACATGGATAATAATAATAATATTAATATTAATATTAATAACAATAATAATAATAGTATACAAGAACGTCGTATTAAAAATAAATCAACAACAAATTTACGAAATGTGGTACATGCGGTTCAAAATATGGTGGGAGTTCAAAAAAATTTACGAGCGAATCATACATTTTCACCCTCAACTAATGCTTCAATTGGTTCTGTTGTCGGCGCTGTTAGTAGTACCGCTGCTGTTACTGCTGGTGGTGGTGGTGGAGGCAGTTATAATAATAATAACAATAATAATATTAATAATATTAATAATAATATTAATAATAATATTAATAATAATATTATTAATAATAATGGTGTCGGAAGTGTGAATGATAGAGTGAATATAGTAAATGGAGTTAGCGTAACAAGTAGCATGAGTGTGAGTGATGGTGCAATCGGTATCTCCGGTATTTCTGGTATCGGCGTCAGTAGTAATAATAATAGTAATAATAATAATAATATTAATATTAATATTAATAATAATTTTAATAATAATTACACTAATAATAAAAACAACATAATAAATAATATAGATAATAATGATGGTATATATACAAAATTTTTTTATTTTTTTAAAAAAAATGTGATATTCATTATTTATTTATCGTTATTTATTATTTATTATTATTTATTATTTATTATTATTTATTATTTATTATTTATGTAATTTTAGATTTCAAGCAAGAAGAAATTTCTCTTATAAATGTTTCAGAACTTCTTAATGATTTTGATTGGAAAGGAAGTGGAAATGCGGCTGCATTAGAAGAAAGATTATTAAACGAATTGGCGGCATTGGAAGCTGTAAGTTTTATATATATATTATAATAATAATAATAATAATAATAATAATAATAATATGTCATTATTATTATTTATGATCGAATAATTAGAATTCAATAATATAATAATAATTATAATAATTTTAGGCAAATATTCATGCTATAGTAGAATCAGATGATCGTATTCATTCACTTATTGGACAAATTGATAAAGCTATTGCTGAATTGGATAATATGGATCAATGGCTCTCATTATATACTGCTGAATTGAATGTGAGTTAATATTTAACAACTAATAATAATAATAATAATAATAATAATAATAATAATAATAATAATAATAATAATAATAATAATAATAATAATAATACAATAAATTAATGTATAATTATATAGACAATGGGAGATGATGATATTCATCATATAGAATCACAAAATCGAGGTTTACAAGTACAAACAGCTAATCAAAAGGCTTTGTTATCTGAACTTGATCGTCTGATGGTAATTTATTTCAATTCAATTATTCAATTATTTAATTATTCAATTATTTAATTATTCAATTTTAAATTTATTAATTTATTTTTTAATTAATTTATTTTTAAATTTATTAATTTATTTTTAAATTTATTTAATTTATTTTTAAATTTATTTAATTTATTTTAAATTTATTTAATTTATTTAATTATTTAATTATTTGATTTATTTAATTTATTTATTTTAATTTATTTTAATTTATTTTGATTTATTTCATATTAGCAATCAATCACACTTCCTGATCATATTATCCAAATATTAATACATGAATCAATGGATACACCTCAAGGTGTTCAAAATATTGAACAAGCAGCTATTCAATTAAAGAATGTCTTGGAAACTCCATTTGATGATGGTTTGTGTTCATATTTGATAATGAAAATATATTTATATAATATATATTTATATTGATAATATATTGATAATATATATTTATTAATTTATTCATTTTAATAGCAACACGCGAAATGAAAGTAGTTCAAGAAAAATTAGAATTATATAAATTTCATTGTACCAATTTTTGTTCACGTTTATATGAATATATGACATCCATTTTTCAATATCAGGTAAATACATTGTACTTCATTTGATGATTAAATGATTTAATGATTATGATTATGATTAATAATTCATAATAAATAATTCATGATAATTCGATGATTCATAATAATTCTAGGCAGAAACTTTAATGAATGATAAAAGTCGAGGAGCTAGGCATAATAATCTTACGATTCAAAGTCATGAACATATCACAGAATCTTTACATAAATATCAAGGATTATCAAAATGGATGAAAGAGATGGATCCCAAACGACATTTAGAAATACAATCAATTTATGTGACATCAAAAGAAAAAGTTTATAAAAAAGAAACTAAAGATTATTTACAACAGATGAGACAAATGTTGGCAAAAAGAGAATTATCCGGAGAAAATACTTATGGTAAATTATTAATGATTTTATTATTAATTTTATTGTTAATAATATATAATCATATATGGAATCATATAATATACTTAATTTATAATAATAGCTTTTAGTGACGCAGCATTAGCACATACTCATCGAACAAGTTTAAATTACGGTAATTGGTTATCATTTGATAATGCAAAACCATCTTGGGAAGTTAAAGATGGCGGAGGAAAATTTCCACCTGAAGAGGTAATTTAATAATATTATTAAATAAATTAAATATAAATAAATATTTTTTATATAAATTAAATAATTATAATATTATTATATAAATTAAATAAATATTATTATTATATAAACTAATCATTCTTTTCACACATACACGCATATAGTCATTTGATCATTGCCTACAAACTATAATTCCTTTAGTGGCCAATGAACAAAATTTTATTTCAAGTTTTTTTCATCTTTCAAAGAAAGGATCCAAATTAGTTTCACCAGAAGAAGCTTTTATTAAAGATTTAGATGCTGAAGAAGATAGTAATGATCTTAATTCTCATAAATTACCGTAAGTAATAGATAATGATGAATAGTGAAGTGATAATTGATTAATTATAATTGAATTTTATAATATTAATATCATTATTATTGTTATTTTTTAGTGAACATATGGAAAAGTTATTTGGTTTTCTACCGGATGAATTATCTATTTTTGTCAGTTATGGTTGCAAGCATGACACTGTGTAAATTATACATTATTATACATTATTATATATTATTATATATTATAAATTATTTATATTATCTCATATTATTATTATTATTATTATTATTATTATTATTATTATTATTATTATATTTAGACAAGTGGTAGGAATGATTGTATCTTTAGAAAAACATATGCAAGAATATGAAAAGCGAGGTCAAGATCAAGTAGTTAGAATATTACAAAATGTGAGAAAAAATTGTTTGGAAATTTTTGAAAGATTTATTGTAAGTATAATAAATTCACTCATATTTTATATCTTATATCTTATATTATATATCTTATATATCTTATGTTATGGTATTATTTAATCATATCATATATTTATTTATTATTAAAATAGAATGATCAACTTCGAGCTATCGAGGATACAAAAGTTACTTCGAAAAAACGAAAGGGTATAGTAATATTCATTCGAATATTTCCGGTGAGTATACATATACATATATTACGATGATATATTACAATGATATATAATAATATATTATAATGATATATAAATAGAGATTTGTAGAACGCATTGAACACTCTATGAAATCCGCCGATCTACTAGAAATCCGTCGAACAGTTAATAGAGGTTATGAAAGAATTGTCAAGACGATGTTCGAAAGTTTAGATGCGATAGCAAAGGATGCTGATGAATTCTTACCAACCTCGGCGGATGATAAAGAACAATTAAATGCTCATATCATAACTTTAGAAAATATGCATCATTTTTATAGTGAAATTCGTACTCGTAAAATTATGGCCTTAGAACCATTCATGAGATCTGCTCGAAGTTCTTATGATAAACATTTAGAAGCTTATGCTAAATCCGTTATTAGAAAACCTTTTGGTAAATTATTGGTATGTCTTATAATATCTTATAATATCAATGTATTATTATTATTTTTATTTATTTATTATATTAATCATTATATTAATCATTATATTAATCATTATATTATATTATATTATATTATATTAGGAATTTTTTGAAGGTATAGAAAGTTTACTAAGGACAACCGCTGCACCTGAAGAAGTTGGATTTCGACTTCAATATAATAAAGTTGCTTTGAAGAAGATTGTATCTTCATATCCTGGAAAAGAAGTAAGTTATTATTATTATTGTTATTATTATTATTAATTCATTTATAATTATCACATATTTATTATATATTTACATAATATTCTCTCATTAAAAAAAAAAAAGATCAAAAAAGGTCTTGAATCATTATACAAAAGAGTTGATAAACATTTCACCGAAGAAGAAGGTTTATTACAAGTAGTTTGGAGAAGTATCGAAGAAGAGGTGATACGTAATCACGATAGATTTGCTTCAATCATTATAAAATGTTATCCCGATGCTAACATCACTTT